CAATCACCTTTAGAAAGGTTAGAATTTGAAGTAGCACCTTTAAACAAATTCCATTGACATGAAAGTTTAGTTTTTTCCAGAAATATAATCATAATTCAACGTTACCAATACTCCCTTCATATATGTTCGTATCTACAAATAAAGATTCACAATTCCAAAAAATCTGAATGTTTCATGATAAAACGAGCCAGCTTCAAACTTGGCTCCGGAACTTCAATTTAAACAGGCCGGTTTCGGTTCCCTGTTTGCGTTTGGGGGTTTCAAACCATGTAGAACATTAGAATAAGCTGCTCGAACAAGCAGATTATTGAGTCCAAAAGTCCAATGTTTTGAACACAAATCCCATAAAGAAAAAACAAACAAACAAACCAAAACTGCCCTAACTCGTGTTGGTTTTAGTTCAAGCTCTTGCACAGCCTGCAGTTCAGCCTCAACGAACATGCTAATGCATTATTACTAGACTCACGACTTTTACTTATTTATCTATATTTTATACATTAATGTCCCGATCCACGCTAATCTTATTATTCATTCGAAATCACCCTTTGAATCAAACCATTTAAAAATATTGTTGGCCATTTCTGAAAAACACAGGGCATGATCAGCCTCACACTCTCAGCCACACTCCCCAATCTCAGGCCACCCCATTGCACTTCCACCGACCAACTCTGCAAACAAGCCGACTCGGGCCAGCTGTCGGTCCTCTACATTTCCCTCCTCCTCACAGCCCTCGGCTCCGGCGGCATCCGGCCCTGCGTCGTCTCCTTCGGGGCAGACCAATTTGACGAAAACGACCCTGAACAGAAAACCACCACCTGGAAATTCTTCAACTGGTACTACTTCTGCATGGGAGCTTCCATACTCGTGGCCAACACTGTTATTGTCTACATTCAGGACAATGTGGGCTGGGGTTGGGGCCTCGGAGTGCCAGCTGCCGCCATGTTTTTGTCGGTAGTGGCTTTTGTGTTTGGGTACCCTCTTTACCGGAAGCTGGATCCGGCTGGCAGCCCCTTCACGCGGCTGGCTCAGGTCTGTGTGGCCGCCTTCAGGAAAAGGAATTCGGATGGGGCAATCGAGCTTTACGAGAATGATGATCTTGATGCCGGGATTTCAGTTGGTGGGAAGCTCGTGCATACGGAGAGTATGAAGTGAGTTTGGGGAAATCCTTCAATTTTGAGTTCTCTGTATACTGCAACTTTGATTTCAATTGAAAAACCTAAAAACTTTTGATTTGGGTTTTAGGTTTCTGGACAAGGCCGCAGTGGTGACCCGAGCCGACGACCCGAAATCACCCAACCCGTGGAGGCTGGCTACTGTCCACCGCGTGGAGGAGCTTAAGTCCCTGATCCGCATGGGTCCGATCTGGGCAGCGGGGATCCTCCTCATCACGGCGGCGGCCCAGCAGGGAACCTTCTCCCTCCAGCAGGCGAAATCCATGGACCGACACCTCCCCGCCACCAGCTTTCAGATCCCGGCGGCCTCCATGAGCGTGTTCACCCAGATCTCGATGCTCTGCACCATCGTCCTCTACGACCGCGCGTTCGTGCCCATGGCGCGTCGAATCACCGGCCTCCAGCGCGGCGTGTCTTTCCTCACGCGAATGGGGATCGGATTCGGGATCTCTGTCCTCGCCACGTTTGTCGCCGGATTCGTCGAGGTCCGCCGCAAGGAGGTCGCGTCGGCGCACGGGCTGCTGGACCGGCCGCACGCGGCGGTCCCGATCTCGGTCCTGTGGCTGGCGCCGCAGTACTGCCTCCACGGGATGGCGGAGGCGTTCATGTCGATCGGGCACCTCGAGTTCTTCTACGACCAGGCGCCGGAAAGCATGAGGAGCACGGCGACGGCGCTCTTCTGGCTGTCGATCTCGGCGGGGAGCTACACGAGCACGCTTCTGGTGACGTTGGTGCACAGGTTCACGGCGGGGCCCGGTGGATCCAATTGGCTGCCGGACGGGAACTTGAACAGGGGGAGGCTGGAGTACTTCTACTGGCTCATCACGCTCCTGCAGCTCGTGAACCTGGTGTATTATCTGCTGTGCGCCAAGTTCTACACTCTGAAGCCGGTTCAGATTCGTGAACCGGCGGGTGGGATGGAAAAAAGAGACGATGAATTCGAGCTGACCGGGGCGGGTCGTGTTTGAGAGTGTGTATTATTACTGTTATGCCCTTCTGTGCATTTTCTGTATTGGGATGGCATGATTAGTGTGTGTAAAATGTGCAATTAACTTGGTAGTTCTAGTGTAGGTCTAAGTAAATTTAGTTATTTCAAGAATAAAAGGCAAGTCTTGAAGATATACCCATTCTATATTTATGTTCTAGTTTCATCTTATATTGCATCATATCAGGACGTATTGATGAAGCTAAAATTAATAGAGGTTGATATAGCCCTAACTTGACTGAATCGAGATTAACGTTTCAGATCGAATAGTTCAGAGACATACCAGGTCAACTTAGTAAGACTAAGATGTTGGAAAAATTAAGTTTAAAGTGGAGAAATATTTCTAATAATTTAGGAAGAAATAAATTCAATAACAAACAATTAGCTAAAAATAAAAATAAGGAGTGAGTTTAGAAGAGTCTGGGTCGAAGCACGCCGTAGTGCTCTCTTTAGAGAAGAAATACCCTCACTGCACCGGTAAATTGATAACACGTTCTTCTCCCAAGATTCGACAACCCGATGGTACTCTCGTGTGCAGCGAAGAGAACCCCGAACCACAAAATACTCGTGCTCAAAATATAAGATAATTATATATATTATATTTGGTAAACCCGAGAGCAATTTTGACAAGAATTGTAAGAACTTTTATCATTAGAATTTCTACAATCCTGCACATGAAAAAGAACTTCAATTTATATGAGCAAAATCTCAACTTATCGTTGGAAGAGTAATAAACAAATACACGTTTCTTAATTAAAATATTCAAGGCTATAGAAACGTTGTCAGGTTGGTACATAAAAGCCCATTTATTGACCAAATATTATTTGTCTTGGAAAGACATTTTAACCAATAATTTTATAAGCAATATTATGAATATGTTTTTGCTATTATTATTATTATTATTTAAATAAATAAAGTATCTAACATTCCCCCACTTGATTTAAAATAATAATAATAATAATAATAATAATAATAATAGAAAATAGAAAAATAATAAGAAAATAAATGAGCAAAGTATACCGTGTAATAGGTGTAGGTACCTTCCGGGTTTGAACCTCCACTTAGTGTATATGGACTACCACATAAAGAACAATAAAGACATGAATGTCTTGATCTATACTCCTGATTTTACATGGCAAAACATTACACATCACGGTATGTATGAGTAAATATTGTGGTTCTATCAGTGGTGTGCTTTACGGTCATGCACGGGAATCTTGTATCATGAACGTCATTAGGGAGTAGCCCACACCCCCACAGTGGCGACCCCACCACCACGTTCACTTAAGTGAATCCTCCAAGGGTAAGTTGTTACCAACCACCCCGCAAAATAATATGCCTTTGGATTCATTAAGAGATATACTCAACCTCAAACGTCACATGAAGAGCACTATCACCATAGGAATGAGTCAATTGTGCTCTTCCAAGTCACCTTTATTACAGTTTCGTTTTTACCCGTTGAACTTCGTTCATGGGATTGCCATACCTCCGAAGACGGGTTTCCACTGTGGTAACTTAATTAATAGGCTCTAGTCCCATTCCCCTCGATGATTTAAAACTTGTTGACGCGCCAAGCCTTTCGTGAGCAGATCCGCAATATTATTTTCAGACCTGACAAAATCCAAAGAAATAATACCATGAGATATTAGATGTCTAATGGATTTATGTCTAACAGTCAAATGCCTTCGCTTTTCATTATAATTTTTACTTTTAGCTCTAGCAATAGCAACTTGACTATCACAAAGTAAAGAAATAGGAGGAATAGGCTTAGGTAATAAAGGAATATCATTTAGAAAACTCTTAAGCCATTCAGCCTCCGTGCAAGCAACGTCTAGAGCAATTAATTCTGCTTCCATTGTCGATCGAGAAATTATAGTTTGTTTAGCAGACTTCCATGATATTGCTCCACCTGCTAAAGTAAATACATAACCACTGGTAGACTTCGTTTCCTCATAATCAGTGATCCAATTTGCATCACTATAGCCTTCTACAACATTAGGAAAACCAGTGAATTTAATAACATAATTCATAGTCCCTTTTAAGTACTTAAATAAACTTTCAATTGCATCCCAATGAGACGAATTAGGACTATGAGTATAACGTGCTAATCTACAAACAACATATGCAATATCAGGTCTAGTATGATTCATCAAATGCAATAAAGATCTAATAATTTGAGAATACTTTTGTTGAGAAATACTAGCACCATTATTTTTTTTCTCAACTTAACAGTTGGATCATAAGGAGTAGATACTGGACTTACATCAAAATAGTTATATTTTTTTCATCATTTTTTCAATATAATGAGATTGAGATAAAGAAATAGAATTATCATCTCTAAATACTCTAATTCCTATAATTACATCAACAGGACCAAGATTCATGTCAAAATGAGAAGACAAGAATGATTTAGTCTCATTTATAATATAAATATTACTACCAAAAATTAAGATATCATCAACATACAAGCACAAAATCACACAAGTATCATTGACAATTTTAATATAAACACACTTATCACCATTATTAATATAAAAACCATTAGAAATCATAACACTATCAATTTTTTCATGCCATTGCATTGGAGCTTGTTTTAATCCGTAAAGAGATTTAACAAGCTTACATACTTTCTTTTCATTACCAGACACAGCAAAACCTTCCGGTTGATTCATATAAATTTCTTCATCCAAATCTCCATTTAAGAAAGCAGTTTTGACATCCATTTGATGTATTTCTAATTCATAAACAGAAGCAATAGCAATCAACATTCTAACGGTAGTAATTTTAAACACATGTGAGTAAGTCTCAAAAAAATCAATACCAGCTTTTTGTTCAAAACCTCGAACAACCAGTCGAGCCTTGTATTTTTCAATAGAACCATCAACTCTTAATTTTTTTCTTGAAAATCCACTTAGACCCAATTGTTTTACAATCAGGAGGAAGATCAGTTAAAACCCAAGTTTTATTTGTCATAAGAGAATTCATTTCATCATTCACAACTTCTTTCCAAAAAGGTGCATCAAGAGATAACATAGCATCATTATAAGTTTTTGGATCATCTTCAAGCAGAAAAGTATAAAAATCATCACCAAAGGTTTTTAATGTTCTACTCCTTTTACTCCTTC